CCATCTTCCTGCTCCTCAGCAGTGAAGAAACAAGCCAGTGGTTCTCAACATGTGATCCTGGGACCCGCATCATTATCTGGAAACAAGTTAGAAATTCAGGTGATGGGCCTCACCCCTTTCTGCTGACTGGCAAATTCTGGGTGATTCTGAAACATGCTTAAGTTTGAGAACCACTGGATGAAGTGAAGACTCTCTAGTATTGGTTCCCCCAGGCTGGCAGCTGGCTGCTGTGGCCTACAGCTCCTCTGCTGGGGCCCCCTGTGAACTTGTGCACCCTCATGCTCCTTCAGACCTGTGGAACAACTGGGCACGGTGTATGAGTCACTCTGTTCCTAAGTTCTGCTACAGTATGGTGGTCACAGCACCCAAGAAGGTGTCACTAACACTTAAAATAGAAGTTTACAGATAATTTGGTCAAGCATTAGGGCAAGTCACCGGAGAGGCTAGTACTTGCCTGATGCTAAGGCATGTCACAGCCCCAGCCTGACCCCTGCAGTTTTGGTCAGGTTCGGGAAAGACCAAAACCCAGAGGGAACTCACTGGCTGGAGTTTCCTGTTTCGAACAGGTGCCTTCCCTTTGCAGAGCCACCCGTTGTCTCCAGTGGACTTGCTGAGATGTCACATAGCTCATTTTGGATGGATACCTATTAAAAATTTTCATAGCCCATTTTATCCTGAAATGGGAAAAGACAATATTCAAAGGTTATCGATCCAAGGCATCTTTTTTGTGCTCAACATGGGGTGGCGGAGGTAAGAAAAATGAAGTATATTCCCTAAAGTGTCGAAGTTAGCCGAGAAATAACTCAGAAAATACCAAGATAAAAGAATATGGAACCAGGTGTAGAAGAGGCCTATGCTCAAGACGGGTTAGTGGTACTCCCACCGCCTTCTGTTCTTCCCCATATCTCCTTTCCCACTTGTACTATAGGGTACGACTTGTTAGAAAGCAACCCTATTTCAGACCAGGAGGTTCAGTTTTCATCCAGCCTGCTTGTGGATATAGATGCTGTTCTTGGGTTCCAGCCTCACCACACCCCACAGAAACATGGCCCTGCCCACTAGGGTCCTTTCCTCTTGCCTCCTAGGTTTTTTTGTTTGCTTATTTGTTTTTTATTTATTTTTCTGAAGAGATAGGGTCTCACTTTGTCACCCAGACCAGAGTGTAGCGGCAGCAATCGCTACATCTGGGAACTCGTGTTCTTAAGTCCTTCTGCCTCAACCTCCCAAGTAGCTGGAACTACAATCATACACCACTATGCCCAGCAGTTTTTATTTTTTTATTTTTTGTAGATACAGGGTCTCACTCTGTTGCCTAGGCTAGTTTTGAACTCCTGGGCTCACATGATTCTCCCACTTTGGCCTCCCAAAGTACTAGAATTACAAGCATGAGCCACCTGCCCCAGCCTCTCCTGGTTTTACCATTCCCACCTGACTCCAAACAAGGGCTACTATAGAAGAGGAATCCTAACAGAAAACTCACCTCAGCGGAGCTGATTCTGCTTATACAGTAGAGGTGGTCAGCACAGAACACAAACCTCCTGAGGACATGATAGGAGATGGATTTTCATGGCTTGTCCTATGCCCCCTCTTGTAGAGTGACCAGTATTCTAGGTATGCTCTGTACTGAAAACAGGACCAGATTCAGCATATCATTGATCTTCTTAAATAGAAATAATTACTGAAACAGTTAACAAACAGTAATAAACCAAGAGACGGGCCAAGAAACAGCTCCCTGCAAGTCTGGAATTAAAAAGACAGCTCTACCAGAACAGTAGCTGCTGTGTGCTCCAGATGCCAGGAGGCGATATTGAGCTGGAGCTACTAGAGAAAGTTTCTATTGAGAAGATTTTATTTCATGAGTTAACTTCGGCTTGGTGGTTAGGGCCAACACTTGCACTTACGATGATTCTCTTTCAAGAAAAGACCTGGCTTTAGAGTTTGTTGCATTGTGGGAAATAACATCAAGTTACTGTGATCTAAGAGGGAAAGTATCACCTTTGGTTGTAGATAGATGTGGTCTTTCTCCCAGACTTCATGTACAGAGGATTTTAACAGGATTAATGGGGCAGGGCTTTCAGCTCCCACACTGTGGCGTGTGTTTGAAGAATTTTGCCTTTAAGGCTCTTCCTTGCACATGTGTACAATACGCCTGGGTATCTTGTTACTTATGGTTGTGTGATGCTTTGGCTGTTTGGAAGTACAGAGAGGGAAATGAGTGCCCCTGTTCTTGTTGTCGTTGCTTAATAGGTGGGCTATGAAGGGTTCTCTACTGTTAAGAATGGTATCTCTTTTGACATTCTTAATGATCTTGATAACTTGGCATCTGAACACTGGCACGAGGTGTTCTTAGTCTAAAAGAATAAGTTCTCCAGCCACGTAATGCTCCAAGTCAATTTTATAGTTAAGTTCCTGTAATTGTGATTGCTTGGAGGGGATATTGATCCTATTGTATTAATAACTTTCAATTTTCTAATTTTCTCAGTGTCATAGATTCTAAGCCACCTCCACCCACTTTCAAATGACATTTTAATGATGTTGGTTTCTGTCTTTAATGTCCATAACCAAGAGATGTCATGGAGCAGTGTG